GAAGAGCAAAGATATCTCCTCGAAGACTGTTATTGTTATGTGCTGTCGAGTCGGTCCCAACTCACAGTGACCCCTCCTTGGGTTTCCCAGGAGGTATCACTACAGAAGTAGATGGCCCAACCTTCCTTCCAAGGAATGGCTGGTGGGTTTGAATTGCCATCCTCTGGTTAGCAGTCAAGTGCCTTAGGCACTATGCTACCAGAGCTCCCCTTGAAGACTAAGGTGCACCTAACCCAAGGTGTTTTCAATCACCTCACATGCATGTGAGAGCTGCAAATTTAACAAGGAAGACTGAAGAAGTGTTGATGCTTTTGAGTTGTGGTGTTAGCAAAGACTACTGAAAGGACCATGAACTCCCAAAAGAACTAACAAATCTGTCCTGGAAGAAGTGCAGCTGGAATGCTCCTTAGAAGTGAGAATGTCCAGACTTCATCTCACTTACTTTGGTCATGTTATCAGAAGGGACCATTTCTTGGAGAAGGATATGATACTTAGTAAGTGGAGGGTCAATTAAAAAGGGGAAGATCCTCAATGAGATAGATTGACACTTGGCTGCAACAATGGGCTCAAGTATGGCAAGTATTGTGAGGCTCACACACGACTGGGCAGTGTTTAATTCTGTTGTACATAAAGTTGCTATGAATTGGAGTCAACTCAATGGTAACTAACAACAACAACAACAAAGGACACTTAGAATTCTATACCCAGCAAATATAAAAGTTAAGGCAAAATAAAGATTGTTTTAGACATATAAAAGCAGAGACAGTTTCTTGCTAGAAGACCAGCAAAAATCTTAAAGAAAAATGTTTAGGCAGAAGAAAAATATCAGGAGGATATTTGGGTCTATAAGAAGAAATGAAGAGTATTAGGAATGGTAATGGGAGCTCTGGTAGCATAGTGCCTAAGGCACTTGACTGCTAACCAGAAGGCTGGCGGTTCAAACCCCCCAGCCACTCCTCGGAAGGAAGGCTGGGCAATCCTACTTCCGTAGTGATACTGCTTCGGAAACCCAAGGAGGGGTCACTATGAGTCGGGGGCGACTCAACGGCAAATAACAACAACAGGAATGATAATAAAGAAATATGTTCCTCATTTTTAATCTCTTGAAAAGATAATTAGTTGTTTAAACTTTAAGGCAAAAATAATAGCAATTTATTATGGAGCACATTATGTATAACCAAAAAAGAAAAACCAAACTCACTGCTGTCAAGTTGAATGTGACTCATAGCCACCCCTCCTTGGGTTTCCGAGGTGGTATCACTATGGAAGTAGATTGCCCAACCTTCCTTCTAAGGAATGGCTGGTGGGTTTGAACTACCAGCCTTCTGGTTAGCAGTCAAATGCCTCAGGTACTATGCCACCAGAGGTAAATTATATGACAATAATAGTACAATGACTGGGAGAGGAAAATGGAAATGCACTGTTATTATGATGTAAGTAAAATTATATAATATTACATAAAGGCAGACTATGATGAGTTAAAGTTGTATGTTATGAACTGAAAAGCACCACCAATAAAACAAAACAAAGCTAATAAGTCAACATTGTTAGTTGAAGTTGGGTCGGCTCCAATTCATGTGCATAACAGAATGAAACATTGCCTGGTCCTGAGCCATCATCATGACTGTTGGTATATTTGAGTCCAGCTGGACAATATTCTGATCCATAGAGCATTCACTGGCTGATTTTCAGGAGTAGATTACCAGGCCTTTTTTCCTAGTCTTTCTTAGTCTGAAAGCTCCACTGAAACCTGTCCACGACAAGTTACTCTGCTGGTATTTGAAATACTGTTGGTATAGCCTCGAATATCATAGCAACATGCAAGCCATCACAATGTGACAAACAGACAGGCTGTGGAATAAGCCAATAGTGAAGATAATAAAGAATCATAAAAAATACTCAGTTAATCCAAAAGAAGACAAGAAACAAGGGGAAAAAAAAGAACAAAGATCAGATTGAAAAATAGATAATAAATGGCAAGCTGATAGATTTAACCCAACCATATCAATAATTACATTAAAAGTAAATGGGTGGGGGCAGGGAAACAAGATTAATGGAAACAGAAAAAACAGTTGGAAATAATGAGAATAGTCATGCATTGTGAAGAATTTAACCATTCCCATTGAACAACTTGTATAGAAATTATTGAATGGGAATCTAAGCTACTGTGTAAACCTTCACCAAAAGCACAATATAATACTATTAAAGAAAAAATAAAATAAAGCAAATGGGAAGAACGCTGTAATTAAGAAGTAGATTCTTAGATTGGTAAAATGAAACAATTGGTCTCTCCTCATCTGGAGCAAAGAAAACCAAAGACAAATGGAAACAATTAGTCCAAGGGACTAGTGGACCATGTGAACCTCAGGCTACATGATGCTGAGACAAGAAGAACTAGATGGTGCCTGACTACTACAGTCAACCACTGGGAAAGGGATCAAAACAGGAGATCCTGGATAGAGTGGGAGAAAAATATGAAACAAAATTGAAAATCATACAAAAGATCAGGCTTACTCATCTTGTAGAGACTGGTAAAACCCCCAAGGCTATGGTCCCTAGTCACCCTTCAGGTTGCAACTGAACTCACTCCTGTGGCTTCAAGCCAAATAGTAGACAGGATTATAAGGTGAACAGTTACACCAGGTAGGTACACGTCTTAGAACAACCAACCATGGAACATCAGAATGGCAGTATTTGCACAGAGAGATAGCTCAAAGGGCAGGAATGCATAGGAAAGAGGGACACAGGAAAAAGGTAACCACAGTGAGTAAGTGGGAAGAGAGCTGTTACATTATGGGGATTACAATCAATGTCATGAAAAAAAATGTGTATGAACTGTTGTATGGAAAATGAATTTGCTCTGCAAACTTTCACCCAAATCACAATTAAAAAAAAAAAAAAGCAGATTGTTAAATTAGATAAAAGGCAAGACCCCACTATATACTGAATTCAAGAAATTCACTCTAAAGAAAAAGATAGGTTAAAAGATGGAAAAAGATATATCATGCTAACTAACACTGATCAAACACCAAGTGGTATAGAATATATGACTCCACTTACATGACATTATAGGTAAAGCAAAATTATAGTGAAAGAAAGCAGAGCAGTGTTTGCCTCAGCCAACTCCTTGGAAGGAAGGTTGGGCAATCTACTTCCATAGTGATACCGCCTTGGAAATCCAGGAGGGGTCTCTATGAGTTGGATCTGACTTGTCGGCAGTGAGGCAGGTGGTGGAGGGAATTGACTGCAAATGGCATAAGGGCTCTCTTTTTGCAGAGATAGAGATGTTGTGTACCTTGATTGTGGTGGTTAAGTGCAGCATGGCACGAATTTGGCAAACTCATCAAGTTTTACACTTAAATTGGTGAATTTTATTGACGTAAATTATACCTCAATAAAGATGATGAAAGAAAGAAGATAGAGAAGAAAGAAATCAAGTGCTTCTGTTTTCAAAATGTACAACCACTTCAGTAAGAATAGTTTCAACTGGCCATGCTCTTTACCCCCATCAAATAAATATTTTACCCTTTGTTTCCTGATCCTTGTTGTCTGTGCATGGCCACACTCTAGCAGTCTTACCTTCCACCTCAAGAAATTTACAAGCTTTTGTACAAAACGAGTATAACTGCACCCCAAAGACAAATTCTGGCACCAGCCAATGATAACGAAACTTGCACAAAATTAAATGATGAATGGTTCAGGCAGGGGACACTGCCCATCCCACTTGGCTCTCTCCATGACACTGACCTCTCCCCTTCCTGACCTCACTTAGTCCATCTCTAGCCACATCTTTCTGTTGTTGAAAACCCCACCCAACCCTCTGCAGTTCTTTCAGTCTTAAGAATTTCAGTTCTGCAGCTTCAATAAGGAAGACTCATTCTGCCTCTCTTCTCTTCCATATGTTAGTAAAGTCAAGTACACATGGAATTGTTAATGAGGGGTCTTTGAATGCACAAAGGACAGAAGTAAGCATCTAAACTTCAGTGGTAAGACACATTCCATATTTACAAGGACAACTAGACTGCATGGGAGCTAGACTCTGAGACTCTGAGAAAAGAGTTTGGATAACGAGATGAGATAATACATAATAAAGAGATAATATAGGGCTGGAGGTGGCAGCAGTTGAAAAGGTAGAAAGAACATGTGAAATACTTACAAGCAAAATAAAATAATTTATAAATAGCTCTGAATTTACTCATGCCCAATGCTACTAGGGAGAGTAGTTAACTATAAGATGTCTTGTCAAGCACCATAAGGAAAGCAAAACCTGTTCTAATGTTGAGATGCTTTTACCAATCAAAAGTGACTCAATCCTTTAATTATATTAAACAAAAAATTATTTAGATACTCTGGAAAACTTGCTAAATCTAACCTTACTAATAACACTTGTACTTACTTCAAATCATCATGGTATTGAAGTCTTTATAATTATATGAGCATAGAAATGGATATATGTAAATCTGTCCAAATAATGAAATTTAACTAAAGAAAGGCATATTTATCTCTCAAACCAAATCAAATTCACTGCCATCGAGCCAATTCCAACTCATAGCAACCCCCTTTGGGTTTCTAAGGCTATAAATCTTTACAGAAACAGACTTTCATCTTTCTTCTGCAGAGTGGCTGGTGGGTTGGAACTGCCAACCTTTTGGTTAGCAGCCAAATACCTTAACTATTGTACCACCAGACTTCCTTTATTTATCTCTACAGAGCTCATTTTAGAATTACCTCACTTAGAATCCCTCAGGGGACTGGTGGCATAGTGCCTAAGGCATTTGACTACTAACCAGAAGACTGGAAGTTCAAACCCACCAGCTACTCATCAGAAGGAAGGTTGGGCAATCTACTTCTGCAGTGATACTGCCTTGGAAACCCAAGGAGGGGTCGCTATGAGTTGGATCCAAGTCGATGGCAGCGCATTAGAATCCCTCAGATTGAAAGTGATGAAAAAGTAGTCCTCAGAAGCTACTCAGATACCATCATGGCTTTTACTTCTCCAGGTGCTTCTTACCATGACCACACATTCCCAATGGAGAAAATGGATGATGCTGTAGCTCCAGGCCAGGAATACACCTATGAGTGGAAAATCATGGAGGATAGTGGACCCACACACAATGACTCTCCATGCCTCACACATATCTATTACTCCTATGCAAACCTGATACAGGACTTCAACTCTGGGCTGGTTGGACCGCTGCTTATCTGCAAGAAAGGTAATAAAAAGATTAAACAACAACAAAACAGATGTTTTGTATAAGAAGTACTATAATGGAATGAGGCTTTAGGGCATCTTGGTACTGTTTTGTACATTAAGTAGAGAGAACCAAAAAGTTGATGTATCAAATCTTCCTCTGTCTGTTACAAATCGTCCTTTATCTCAGTCCTGAGAGCCTCTCCCAAGTAAATCCTTGCCTGAAGTGTGTTCTAATGCCATCATCTGATGTCAAATGTGATCTGTAACATTTACCTCAAGGTTGAATCTTCTTGAAAGTGTATAGTAGACTATATCCTGCTCAGAGAGTACTCAAAAAAATGCTGGTAACAAATCGGACATATCTGATGGTACGGTTGGCAATTTGATCTATAAGCACATGCAACTCTGGCTTCCTTTCTTATGAATAAGCTGAACACCGTGAATAAACAGAGTTCAACTGAATTTATAAGAAATGGCACTGGCTAGGCTCCTTAAGAATAAGCTTGGCTTTTTGTTTTACTCCAAGAGAATTCAGTCCATCTCTTGTTAAAACAAATAACAGTGAACTGCAATCCTCTGGGAAATAATGTAAGACACTACCAGTCTATACATGCACACATACGGTACCTGCATACACTTGTAAACCATTTATTCATTCCAAATATTTTTTTCATTGTCTCATACATATAAAATAATGTGATGGCACTGAAAAAGAAAATTAAAACTTATAGAAGGCTTTCATTTTACCATCACCTTCATTTTTTGTCATATGAGAATGGATTAATCCTTATCCTCTTTCTACCAACTCACTGGTACCCCACTGCATACACAAGCAAGATAATTATATAAACTTGTGGTGTAGTTCTTTTACCTATAAGGTGAAGTATCTGTTATTGACACTGGAGGAAATGATATTTTTACTAGAGACTTGACTGTCACCAAACGCTTCCATTGTGTGTTGTTGTTGTTGTTATTTGCCGTCGAGTCGGGCCCGACTCATAGTGACCCTTCCTTGGGTTTCCAAGGCAGTATCACTATGGAAGTAGATTGCCCCATCTTCCTTCCAAGGAGTGGCTGGTGGGTTTGAACTGCCAGCCTTCTGGTTAGCAGTCAAGTGCCTTAGGCACTATGCTACCAGAGCTCCCTTCCAATGTGTATAAGATGAAATTTATTCTCCCAAGGCTACAAGGTGCCAGAGAAAACACTTAATGTAGCACCAAGATTTTAATAGGTCCCCGATAATTATTACTTGCTAAAGGTTTTTTTAAAAATAAGAACTTCAATTTAATATCATCATGATTAGTTACTTGCTTTAAACCCTTTATTATCTAGAAATAGCTCATGAGAGTCTTCTTTCCAGGATACTGTTGAAAAGTATGTCTTTTCCTTCATAGGCACCCTAACTGAGGATGGGACCCAGAAGATGTTTGACAAGCAACATGTGCTGATGTTTGCTGTGTTTGATGAAAGCAAGAGCTGGATCCCATCATCATCCCTAATGTACACAGTCAATGGCTATGTGAATGGGACACTACCAGGTAATGGGCTGTGGGCTGTGTTTACCATCCAACAACAGTATAATCGGTGCTTTTGAGCCCACTGTTTTTCTCAAGGCATTAAGAAAGTTAACCAGACTCACTGTTTTTCCAGCTCCTAATCAGAAAAGCAATGTAATCTAGTGCAGTGGTGTTCAAACTTTTATCATCCTTTTTTTAAAACACTAACTACAACAGACAAATTGGATGTTATCTAAACTAAGGAGTGCACAACCTTGTTAGATGTAATGCACTGAGAAGGTTTCACCTTGGCCAGCACCACCAAAAAGATCTCCAGTATATTGACTTGGTCTCCCTCAGTGAGTTTTGTGGTCTCTGATGTATTGTGACCGTGCCTTCTTCCACATACAAAACCCTACAGTACAGAAAGTTCATGATCAATCTCTAGAAGGAAAGATCAATAGGAGGAATGTAATAAAGACATTTGCAGTGAAGATTAACAGATTAGGAGAAATCTCCAACATACAAAAATATTACTAGTATTTCAAAAGGTGATCAATGGGTACTATTCAGTGACATATAGGATGTTTTCTTTATCAATGTGCATGTTTATGGTTGTGAGAAAGCAAAATCATAACAGCAGTTATGAGAGAAATAACAAACTGACTCCCACCTAGACCACTTCTACCTCTCTCTGGTAGAACTGACTTAAAACCAAAATCCAAAGTATATTATACTGTCCTGAAGAAAAAAAAAAAAAAGGAAAAATGATTATGTGTCCAAATGCCTTTATTAAATAAAGCATATATTCAAGCTATTAAACTTCTCAAAGCCCATTTTGTAAGTTTGAGGCCATTCTCAAATGCTTTCACTTCCAAAACCAAAAACCAAACCCCACTGCCATTGGGTTGGATCTGACTCATAGCTACCCCTCCTTGGGTTTCTGAGGTGATATCACTACAGAAGTAGATTGCCCAGTCTTCCTTCTGAGGAGTGGCTGGTTGGTTTGAACCCCCAAGCTTCTGGTTAGTAGTCAAATGCCTTAGGCACTACACCACCAGAGCTCTTAATGCCTTCACTTAAAAAAAAAAAAAAAATTGTCAAGAGTTGAGATCTAGGTGTTGCTTTTGAATAGTATACTAACTCCTTTGACTCTATTTTGTACCTGGGACGTTAGAGATAACACTCATATGACTCTGGGTTTTGATTTAGAGTTCCAAACTCAGGAGCTTGCAAACCTGGGGTTCGTTAACTGATCTCCTAACCTTAGGAGATCTGAGTTCTCTGGGAAATAATGTTGCCTTCTCTATCTTAGGTGTGTTCTTGTTGTTAAGTGGCATTAAGTCAATTCTGACTCATAGCAACCCTGTGTACAAAAGAAAGAAACTGCCCCGTCTTGTGCCATTCTTACAATCATTGTTATGCTTGAGCACACTGTTTAAGCCACTGTGTCAATCCATCTCATTGAGAGTCTTCCCCTTTTTCACTCACCCTCACCTTTACCAAGCATGATATTCTTCTCTAAGTATTGGTCCCTTCTGACAACATGACCAAAGTATGAGAGATTAAGTCTAGTCATTCTTGCTTATAAGGAACGTTCTGGCTACACTTCCTCCAAGACAGATTTGTTCATTCTTCTAGTTTCTGGCAATTATGGCAAGTTGTCATCTCAATGTGTACACTTACAAAAACAGATTAACCATCTATCCTGGTACAAAAACTTTTAAGAATTGGTTATGCTTATACCATATCACAGGAGCTCTGGTGGCTTAGTGCCTAAGGCACTTAAATGCTATCCAGAAGGCTGAGGTTCAAACCCACCAGCTATGCCTCAGAAGGAAGGTTGGACAATCTACTTCCATATTGATACCACCTTGGAAACCCAAGGAGGGGTCGCTATGAGTCGGCACCTAACAACACAACAACATACCATATCATATCCAGTACTATTGGCCCTTGTGAGTGGGATGATCAAAAGAGAAATTGTATCTGTCTCTTTGTAGAGTGAACAATCTGTGTAAATACATGAAAGCCAAAAGAAGCACACCATATGTGTTAGACTGGGTTCTCTAGAGAAACAACAACTAGCAAAGCTTATATATATATAAAGAGAGAGAGAAATTTATCTTAGGAAAATGGCTCACAAATGTATAGAAGCCAGCAAGTCCAAAGTCCCTGGAGAAAATGTCAGGCTGAAGGCTTTTCTTAGCTCCCACAACTGCAGGGGCTGAGAAGCTCAAGGCTGGCAGGCAGTACACCAGCTGTTGACTCCAATGAATGACGAATCCAAGATCGCCAGGCTGAACAGTGGACTGTTCACTCACGAACAGTTGTAGGAAGCACAACAGAATTCTGATCCACAGAAGAATGTCTCTCTTCCCAGGATGTCCCTGGATATCCTGGAAGCAGGCCACACCCCTAGGGAAACTCCCCTTGAAACTCCTCAGATTGGCCACTCAGAACACAGTCATCCGATCCCATCATGGGAACAACCACACAGAACTGGGGTCCAGCCAAGTTGAAACACAGCTCCAACTATCACAGTCCACCCCTTGTCAACTTGGCAGTTGTACACATCTTCATAACCATATATAATCTCTAAATAAGGACAATTATAAAGTCATATTTATGCCTAATATGATGTGGTAACACACATGCAACCAAAATGCATTAACCTTATTTACATTTCACAGTTCATAACAGAAGGAAACAAAAATATTTGATGCACATATACAATGAAGAAATATAACAATCACAGTCCTCGTTTCTGCAGCTGGTCACATGGTCGTAGCTGATATTCAGAACTGCCTTCCTCCACCATCCATTCTGTATTTCCCTTGCCCTCAGCAAGCACCTCAGCTGGTCGTGGTTCTTTGCTTGGTGGGGTGACCCAAACCTTCATTCCTGAAGGGTCTGAGCCATTAGCAGTCATATCAGAATTAGGTTGCTGTAATTTTCCATTGACTTTAGTCACAGGGCATGGTAGTACTAAGTGACGTCCTAAAGAATCTCCTGTATTCCAGACGTATTCTTCTTTACCTCCATTATGTAAAGCCAACCCAATTTCCCCTTGGTAATCAGGATCTAGCACACCAGATAGTACAGTAATGCCCTTCTTTGTTGATCCAGAGGCATGAGGAAGCCAAAATGGCTGGGTGGCATTCTTAATTTCCAGTTTAATGCAATCAATATTGTGTCTCCAGGTGGGATGTTCCTCCCTTTGGGACTAAGATCTCAAGACCCACAGAGCATAGGGTAGCAGGGACAAGAAGCAAAAATTTTTTGAGTGGGTCACTAGGGGTAATAGTGAGTAGTACCACTCCTGTTTCCACCCCTTGGTTCCTGGACCCATGAATCCTGGCTATTGGAGAAACAGAACCACATATTGGATGATGGTTTAGAGCATATACAGCCTCCTGGAGAGCATTGCCCCAACCCTTCAAGGTATTGCCACCTAGATAGCACCGTATTTGTGTTTTTAAGAGGCCGTTCCATCGTTCTATCAAACCAGCTGCTTCAGGATGATGGGGAACATGCTAAGACCAGTGAATTCCATGAGCATAAGCCCATTGCCGCACTTCACATGCTGTGAAATGAGTTCCTTGATCCAAAGCAATGCTGTGTGGGTTACCATGATGGTGGATAAGGCATTCTGTAAGTCCATGGATGTAGTTTTAGCAGAAGCATTGCATTCAGGGAAGGTGAATCCATATCCAGAATAAGTATCTATTCCAGTAAGAACAAAACACTGCCCCTTCCATAATGGAAGTGGTCCAATGTAATCAACCTGCCACCACGTTGCTGTCTGATCACCCCGAGGAATGGTTCCATATCACAGACTCAGTGTTGGTCTCTGCTGTTGGCAGATTGAGCACTCAGCAGTGGTGGTAGCCAAATCAGCCTTGCTAAGTAGGAGTCCATGTTGCTGAGCCCATGCATAACCTGCATCCCTGCCACCATGGCCACTTTGTTCATGAGCCCATTGAGCAATGACAGGAGTGGCTGGTTTCCACTGAACGTGTCATCTTATCCACCTGAATGTTAAAGTCCTCCTCTGCCGAGGTCACTTTTTGGTGGGCATTCACATGAGACACAAATACCTTTACTCCTTTGGCCCATTCAGAGAGATCTATCCACATACCTCTTCCTCAAACATCCTTATCACCGATCTTCCAATCATGCTCCTTCCAAGTCCCAGATCATCCAGCTAAGCTGTTAGCCACAGTCCATGAATCTGTATTTAATCGCACATCTAGCCATTTCTTGTTCCATGCAAAGTGAACAGCCATATGCACAGCCTGAAGTTCTGCCCTTTGGGAGGATTTCCCTTCACCACTGTCCTTTAAGGAAGTCCCAGAAAGGGGCTGCAGTGCTGCTGCTGTCAACTTTCGAGTGGTGCCAATCCCATCATGGAAACAACCACACAGAACTGGGGTCCAGCCAAGTTGACACACAGCTCCAACTATCACACCATATGCACAAAACTAAATGTTAATAACTTGATCAGAGCAAAGAGTTTATCAATTGAATTATGAGTTGAAGAAGTTGGAACTAAGAGGGTAAGGAAATGTTGTCAGTAGAAATTGAGAATAATTTATCCTTATAAAGCCTTCTACTTATGAAGCACCATAAATTGAATAAATATAATAAATGCTAATCAGATGTTTTAATTGCTGAATTCAATATCAGCATTTCTTTGGGATGCATAAATGCTTCCACCACATTTAGCTGTGTAAGGTTGTAGCTGCTTATTCTCAAGAGTGACACCAGGAATCCCTGCCCCACTGCAATGTTGTGTTGTTAGTTACCATCAAATTGATTCCACCTTATGGTGACCTTTGTGTGCATAATAGAATTGCTTCATAGGTTTTCAAGGCTATGATCTTTCAGAAGCAGATGGTCAGGCCTGTCTTTGGAGGCAGTTCTGGCTAGGTTCAAACTGCCAACCTTTCAGCTAGTAGGTGAGAGTTTAATCATTTGTGCCACCCCAGGACCCCTCTGTTGAAATGGTCTTCTTAAAAAAAGACAAGACCCTTCATAGATAAGGAACTGATTGTCAGATCTGTTATCTAATATCTAGTGGTTATGGGTCTGAAATTTAAAACTCAATCCAATGACAGAAGCCAGGGTTGGAATCTCCCACAGAGCAAATGGGCATTTTCCCAGTCACTGTGGGAGCAAAGAGGGAGCAGAGCTAGCTTTTGTACTCAGTTTTCATTACCACATTCATGAAAAGCTCCCATGGCCCAGCATAATGAGAATCTGTCCATTGCATTTTAAGGATAGTGTGTAACTCACAGAGTAACGTACTGCCTTGTCAAAGAAACAATCAACAAGTGAGTAAAAAAGCAATAGAAATTTCTCAAAGGGTCCTCACAGTTTCTTCCTGCTAGGCAGAGCTTTGATCTCCATCCAGCTGAGAGGATGAGGTCTTGAACTCAACCCTGTTGGAGGCTCTAGTGACCCCGTCCAGCTGAGTCCAGCTTGGTGATTAACCATGTCAGTTTGCTTAGGACTTTCCTGGCTTTAACACTGAAGTCTTGCATCCTGGCAAACCCCTCAGTCCTGGTAAACCAGAATGGTTGGTTGCCCTGCTTGGCCCCCTTCTTGGCCTAATCCCTAACAATTCCTGTGTTTCTGAACTAGCATCTCCCATCTCTGGGCTCCCATCAAACTCCATTCTTAACTTCTATAATGCCACCTATTGCAGTGCATTGTGACTGTTTCCTGTCATTCAGCTGACTGCTTTTCCAGGGCAGGAATCATGTCCAGAATGCCTGTTCCTGTAGAACTTTGCAGCATGCCTGATGCATAGCGAGTGTTCAATATACCTTTGGTAAGTGAATTTTTAATCATGCAATGCTAGACTGACTGCTACTTGTGGCCCCTGTCTCCCCCTTTCTCCCAGATATAACTGTTTGTGCCTATGACCACATGAGCTGGCATCTAATTGGAATGAGCTCTGGACCAGAATTGTTCTCCATTCATTTCAGTGGACAGGTCCTGGAGCAGAACCATCACAAAGTCTCAGCTATCACCCTCGTCAGTGCCACGTCCACTACTGCAAACATGACTGTGAGCCCAGAGGGAAGATGGACCATATCATCTCTCATCCCAAAACATTTTCAAGGCAAGAAAACTCCTCCATCAGTCTTGCTCCTGACTAGAAAGAAGGACCTTTCTTCCCAGACGTTAACACCTTTCTCCTTTGCCTTTTCAAGCCACCCTCACTGCAGACATATGTGTATATGCCCTAGCCCCTGAGACCAGAATTTAGATACTCTTCTCTTAAAACTTAGAACTCAGTGGTTGAGAGTGGGAGGAAGTGGAGGAGTTGACAAAGACAAAAAAAAAAAAAAAAAATGAAGCAAAAGCCAAAGCGGTCCCTACTTCTTTGAAAGGAGAAAAGGGGAAAGAAGTAAATGCACACATGGAGGTATTATTTCATGAGGTATTTAATAATGTAGCAAAAAGAAAAACTTTTGAACAAAACAAACATTTACTTGCAAATTTGTAGAAGCACCAAGTTACAAAAAGTGCAAGAGTCTTGTGATGAGATACTTTATGATGAGATGAGCACAGTACGTGGTACAGGGAGGAGCTCCATGATTGTATGTTGCATGGATTTTAGGTAAGATCTAAACAGCTGAGGAGTGGGTTTCACAGAACATCAGTGAATTCAGGTCAGGGAAAAATCAGCCCAGGTTATTTGATATTGCGTGAACAAAATAACTGGTTGTTCCACTACAGGTTTTTGCATTAAGACCATTGGGAGAAGCGTTCATAAAAAACAGAGAATAAAATCTAAATAAATGATATCACTATAGGAAATTATTTTGTTATCAAAATAATATATATAATCAATGTACATTAAGGAGAGATATTTCATGGGATGATTAAGTTTTCTTTTAGCACTGAACAGTCAAAATTATATTCAAAGTAGTAAATTTGTCATAATATCCTTAGAAGATAGAATTCCTAGTAATAATAAAACAATGAAACTAGTATTTATTGAGGACTTACGTGCCAGGGATTGCTGTAAGTGCCTTGTTATTAATTTATTTAATTTTTAACAACAATACTGTGAGATAAAGACATAACCTCATTTTTAATTTGAAGAAACAGATGACAAGGAAACTGGGAATTCAAAAAGACCTAACTCACAGTGTTTTAAGGTTCTGGAAATACAAAATATCTTCCAGCTTCTGAAAGAAACAGAAGGATCTTTCCAAATACTTTCCCTAACCTTCTCTCCATTTCCCTTCTTTTTCATTCCTGTTCCCTTCTGTACTCCACTAAAAAAGTTCCAAACCAAAATGCTAAAAGGTGCTTGAGAGTTACTTTCATTGTTATCATTTAAATCTTCCATACAATTTATTTTAAAAACATGCATTCTGAGCAACCTTAATCTCCTCTTAAATTCTTTCACTTCTTTATTTCCCCAATCAGCTGGGATGCAGGCTTACATCGACATTAAAAGCTGCCCAAAGAAAACCAGGAGTCTTAAGAAACTAACTCGTGACCAGAGGCGGCACATTAAGAGATGGGAATACTTTATTGCTGCAGAGGAAATCATCTGGGACTATGCACCTGTAATACCAGCAAATATAGACAAGTGAGTCACAGGGGTCTTACCACTGTGGGAGGGCTTAAGACACATTTCAGAGTCTTAGATACATGGGACTGAAATGTTAAGAGTTGACAACTCTTGCATTGGTTCAAGGCTTCTTATTCAAATCAATTTGGAATCACCCCAAACTCACCAAAAGGATTCGGCTAAATAATAATAATAATAGCTGCTACCATTTGTTGAATGCTTGCTATTGTCAAGCACTATGCTAAACTCTTTCTAAGGGTTTCCCTTCAACTCTAGAAATTAGATACTGCTATTATTTATTTTATAGATGAGGAAATGAGTCAGAGATTAAGAAATTTAGAAATTCAAATAGCTCTTAAACATTTGAATAGATACTCAAGCTCCCTTATAATGAGAGAACTGCTAATTAAAACTTCACTGAAATATCATTGTTCATCTTTTAGACTATGGTTATTAAAGTGAATAAAAGTTTCCTGAAGTGGGAAAGTGCTTTTAGAGTTTGAGAAATACTTGGAAAGCCAACAAGGGTACCATAGATTAAGTGATGGAAAAGACTTCAGAAAAATTCCCAGCGCATCCCATCATTTCTGCTAGTGTAGACCTTTTCCAAGAGGTATGGAAGATCTGCTCTAGCAACCAAAGTGACTGGAAGATCAAAATAGCTGCTTCTAAACATTTACCTATGACTTCATCCGTGGTAGAGAAGATACCTCAGAGGTTTCCAGTTTGCCAACTGGATAAAAGACATCAGAACTTTGAAAACTTTATTTAGAGAACTAGCATTTAAACGAATCCAAGAACAGAACTTCCCTGTCACACTGGGGTATCTACTTAAAAAAATGGTTTAATATTTCTTTATTTCATCTTACTTGAAGAAAATACAGATCTCTGCATTTAGATAATTTCTCAAACCAAATTGGAAAACATTATAAAAAGGTGGTCTACAAACAGTATCAAGATGAATCCTTCACCAAACGCATGGAGGATACCGATGTGCAAGCTGGGATTTTGGGCCCTATTATCAGAGCCCAAGTCAGAGACACACTCAAAGTAAGTAGCAATAATACTTGGTTATTTGTTTTAAAAAGAAAAAGGTATCCATAGATTTGAAATTGAAGTGCAACTTTTAATTTTTATTTAGGATTTACACTTACTTATACCCTATTTCATACAACAAATTATATGAGACAGTGTATCAAATTATAAAGGAATAAAACAGCATTGATGTAGATAGGGTGAAGGATAATATGGGGTCAAAGAAAATAAAGCCAAGGATAAGATAAGCATAATAAAAGACATATGAAACAGTCCTATATAGTTGTTTGTGAATTTTGATCTAAGCTTTCTAGCAGCTACAGTAAAAAGGGAAATATGTCAGAACAAGAGTCCCAATATTCATAAAAGAAGCACTCACCACTGCCATTGAATCAATTCCAATTCAGCCACCCTATAAGACAAAGTAGGAGCTCTGGTAGCACAGTGCCTAAGGCATTTGACTGCTAACCAGAAGGCTGGCGGTTCAAACCCACCAGCCACTCCTCAAAAGGAAGGTTGGGCATTCTACTTCCGTAGTGATACTGCCTTGGAAACCCAAGGAGGGGTCTGGCTCGACGGCACATAACAACAACAATATAGGACAGAATAGAACTGCTGCATAGGGTTTCCAAGGTTGTAAATTTCTATGAAAGCAGACTGCCTCATCTTTTTCCCCCTGCAGAGTGGCTGGTGGCTTCAAACTACCAACCTTTTGGTTAACAAAAGGTTAGTTTTAACCACAGCACCACCAGAGCTCCTTGGGAAAAATTAGCATTTTCTCTAATATTGAGGCTTACAAGAACTTTCTCCCATGAATCCTTAAAAAAGAGGATACTGTGTGTGTTGTAGTAGATGGCATCCTTGACAGGATCCCTACAACTGATACAATAAATAAACTTGCTTAGCTTTTTAAAATAATGTTTCACTGCTGTCAAGTTGATTCTGACTCATAGTGATTCCCATTGGGTTTCCAAGGCTGTAAATCTTTATGGAAGCAAACTGCCTCGTCTTTCTTTCACGGAGCAGCTATTGGGTTCAAACCACCAACCCCTTCATTAATAGCCAAATACCTTAACCACTACACCACCAGAGCTCCTCAGTAGTAAACACAAGTAAGTAAAAACAACTCTTCAAGGTTTAGGTTTAGGTTTGCTTGAGGTATGCAGCTCTCTGGTGATTGGTCTTGATCCAAAGATAAATTTAGGTATGTATAAAGAACACTGAGTGATCTTCAGATACATTTCCATAAATAATATCACATCATCAAGCTTTTGGTAAGAACTGGACAAGAAGGTTCAAGGTTGCAATCTTTGGCAAGATTCTAGAATGCAGGTAACCTACAGATCAAGAATGATCCAAATGCCTTCACAATCATCCAGTAGAAGATAAGATTAAGGGTCTCTTGAAAATGAAGGAGCCTTACTGGGACTCCTTTGTATATAATCTCTCCTTTTCACCTCTGTGTAGAAGCAGGCTAAGAAGATACCTGCAGGCAGTTTTTTCTGTTTGTTTAAAAATAACAAAAGGAAAAAAGCAGTCTTTGTCTGTTCTTCTTTCCCTTCCTCACTTACTGTGATCCCTTTCATGTGCTCTTGGCAAGTATAAACTTGATTCATGAGAAATTTAGATTCTGGCTATTTGAAGACATTTTGAAGACAGGCTCAAAGACAGGAGCTGCAGAAGGTCTGGCAGGCAGGAGAGGGGATCATGATCTAGAGACGAGAATGTGGATCTAGATTCAAAGAGAGATGTCAGGAATGGATGATGGGGACTCCATGGGTGATAGAGTTTGAGGGAAATGTTATCTCTCCAAATTTGTCTTCAAAGGTCAGACTTTTCTTACCATTTCCACTTTAATGGGTGAGTGAAACTCTCAAGTGCTCTTGCCAAGTGATGGAAAGAGGTTGCTAAGTGATACGGCCTCAGAAACCCAAAGAGGGGTGGCTATGATTCGGGTTCAACTGGAAGATACGTAACAACAATAACAACAACTCCAAAAAAACATAACTAGTTTTCTCATCATTTACATGCACAATCATACACACCATCCAATAAGTGAATATACAAAAGTAACATTCTGTATTCATTCTTATGTTTGACCATAAATCCTGACATAATAATTGGGTTTAATTTTGCAGATTGTGTTCAAAAATACGGCCAGCCGCCCTTACAGCATTTACCCTCATGGAGTGACCTTCTCACCTTATGAAGATGAAGTCAACTCTTCCTCCACCTCAGGTTTGAATCTTTCACTTCTAGTGGATGAAACTATTTTCTTCTGAGAGGCTGCCATACTTTTCCACTGTCTTCCTTCCCCTTTTGTTTTGGTTTTAGATGCTAGATCTGTTGGTAGTGGTGTGACTAGTGCAATCATATAAAGTACATGTGGTGGTATCCTGAAAGTCACAACCAAACCCTGCTCACTTCAGGGCTTTGTTTACCTTCCAACCAGTACCAAAAAAAACAGATGTCATCAAATTAATTCTGATTCACGGAAACCCCGGGTGTGTCAGAGCAGAACTGTGCTCCATAGGTTTTTCAGTGGCTGATATTTCAGAAGTAGATCACCAAGCCTTTCTTCCCAGGCACCTCTGGGTGGAGTCAATCTTCCAATCTTTCAGTTAGCAGCCGAGGGTGTCGAAAATTTACACCACTCAGGAGCTCCTGTGTAGCTTAAAACCAAACCAACTTCACTTCACTGCCATCAAGTCAATTCTGATTCATAGCAACCCCCACAGGGCTTCCAAGGCTGTCAATCTTTACGGAAGTAGATTGCCTCATCTTCCTTCCAAGGAACAGCTTGGAACAGTGGGTTGAATGGCCGACCTTCTGGTTAACTGAACTTAACTCAGTGCCCTCGAGTCGATTGTGACTCATCAAGACCCCTTCTTGGGTTTCCGAGGCGATATTTCTATGGAAGTAGATTGCCCAACCTTCCTTCCAAGGAGTGGCTGGTGGGTTTGAACTGCCAGCCTTCTGGTTAGCAGTCAAATGCCTTAGAGACTATGCCACCAGAACTCCCTGATTAGCAACTAAATAGGCTTACTAAATATGGTATCCTTTTTTGGTGTCACAGCAGCCTCTAGTGGAACAATATCTAGTGGCTACATACTATCTAGGGTTCTATCAAGCAGAGTTAATATAAAAAGAATATCCCTTTCCCAATAGTACTTGGTTCTAATGAGAACTCTAATATTAATTTGTAGCCATGAAATGATTTTCCAAATGGAAACAACATTGAGTTGGTTTTTTTTTTTTTTTTTCAGCCCCCATGATCAGAGCAGTCCAACCTGGAGAAACCTATACTTATAAATGGAACATCCTAGAGTCTGATGAACCCACAGAAAATGATGCGCAGTGCCTAACAAGACCATACTACAGTGATGTGGACATCACAAGGGACCTTGCCTCTGGACTGATAGGGCTACTTCTAATTTGTAAGAGCAGATCCCTGGACAAGCGAGGCATACAGGTATTTTGTCCTTGAAGTAACCTTGCAAAAATTTTAGGAATTTCTTCCAGCTAGAACAGATTAGTTATTCCTTGCTATGTAATGGGGTTTTTCCTTTAAGAGAGCAGTTATATTAAGTTGTCCGCTTTGGCATTAGTGTGATGGCATTTATTTCTTTGGCTACTTTCTTACCTTGTATATCTTCATTTGGTCTTGCAGTGCAGAAGGCAAATCTACAGTGTGGTGTGTATTTTGTTTTGGTTTTAGATGCTAGATCTGTTGGTACTGGCAATGTGATCTTGAACAAGTCACATAGCCTAAATTAATTTCTTCCTTTCATATAGTTAGTAACCCCGCACACACCCCTAAAATTTGGATAAGGCTATTTCAGGGCTCAAGTGATATACCACCTGGTATATCACTGGTTCTGTGCCAATCCTTGTTATATAGAGAGACTTGCAACATGAAGAGATAGGAGAGATTCCTTGAAAGCAAGTGCACTTGGAGTAAGTTTCTTATAAAGTTGGACCCAGACGAGCATCCATCTTTGGTGAGACTGAATTATACAGAAGAATGTGAACAAAGATATGGATCTTCTGAGTTTATCTTCAGTGAAGAATAAATAGTCACATATTATTAATCTAAAATTCCCAGACCAGATTATGGTCTAAATTATAATCAAAGAGGTCTCCTCCCAAGGCATACAAAATAAATAAATAAATAAACAAACAAACTTGCTGCTGTTGGGTCAATTCCAATTCACAATTACCCTATAGGATAGAGTAGAATTGTCCCATAGGGTTTCCAAGGCTGTGATCTTTATGGAAGCAGAGTGCCACATCTTTCCCCCATAGAGAGGTGTGTTCAAACTACCGACCCTTCAGTTAGCAAACAAGCACTTAACTACTGTGCCACCAGGGCTCCTTATAAAATAAATATATACCTAGGAAAATCAGAACTTGGCGTTTGGCAGTTCCTGATCTATTACACTATGAAAGTAAGCAGGTATAGAGGAATAAGTATTTCCTACAACAGCCTTCTGTTTTTTCCTTTGCAACTATTTGGAACACATCCAGAAAATCATTCAGGTTAAAAGTGCTCAATTACAAAAATAAACAGACTTTCTGTTGGTATGGTAAAATGGGATTTTTCTAAGTGGCATAGTGGATAAGGCATTTGGGTGCTAATCAGAAAGTCAGTGTTTCAAACCCACCAGCTGCTCTACAAAGGAAAGATGGGGTTATCTATTTCTGTAAAGATTTACAGCCTTAGAAACCCAATGGGGGTAGCTATGAGTTGGAATCAACTTGATGGCAGTTTTTGTTGTTGTTTGTATTTTAGTATATTTTCACCTCTGAATTTTCTGATCTGCTCTGTTTGCTTTTGCATATTACCTTTGGCTTTAATACGTGCCTTGTAGATAATGAGTTCTCATAAATGCCTGAATTTGCAGCTTCAGTGGCCTCAAAGGCTGTGCCCCTTTGATTCCTGAGAACTCGGTGCTGTAGGTAATTGGTTGGAATATTAATCACTGAGCAGCACTTTCACCCTCCAGAGGGCAGCAGACATTGAGCAGCTGGCTGTGTTTGCTATGTTTGATGAGAACAAGAGCTGGTACATTGAGGACAACATCAACAAGTTTTGTGAAAATCCTGATGAGGTGAAACGTGATGACCCCAGGTTTTACGAATCAAACATCATGAGTAGTAAGTCAAAGCACTGTTTTTCTCCATCATTGTTTCACTCCTGTCATTGAGATATGACTGTGCCTAGAGGCAGAGACATGGATTAGAATTCATTCATTAAAGAGTACCTCTTATCTTCTTCACTTCCAGTGAAAGAGTTTAGTGATGAATTCCCTAGGTGGCTTCATAGCAACATTTATGATATATATAGCAAGAGCTCAAAGGCTCATGACCCTTGGAAGTCACTACATGACTATCTGCTTCAGATACACCCTCTGGGAAATGAGGAATGAGGAGGGGTGTAGGAGATTCCACAGGCCTCCATCAATGTTATCTGAAGATTTTACACTGGGATCAAGGTGAATACTGTGTGGCCAAGACAGAAACAAGACAATCCAAAGATAGACTGTCAAATCAAAATAGGGCAAAATGAGTATGGGGAGCCAAAAGTCTCAAAAAGTCAGTACATGAAAAGTTCATTAAAAATATTCTTCACATTCATAATTTCAATTAAATTCAACTCAAACCTCTTTGCTGTTGTTATTGTTAGTTGACACTGAATCAATTCCAACTTATGGTGACCCCATGTATGCAAATTAGAACTGCTCCATAGAGTTTATAAGGCTGTGCATGAAGAGGTTTGAAGTGAGCGATGTTGTCAATATGTACCGTCAAGTAGTCTCCAACTCATAGCAACCTTATGTACAACAGAAAAAAACACTGCCTGGTCCTGTGCCAACCTCACTATCCCTACTATTCCTGAACCCATAACTGTAGCCACAGTGTATATCCATCTCATTGAGGGCCTTCCCCTCTTTCGTTGACCCTCCACTTGACCAAGCATGACATCCTTCTCCTTATTAGGAGTAAATGAGCGATAAGAAGTTCAAAATGGGAGAATTCCCTGAGCCAGAGTCCAGGCATCTGCTGCAGTTTTAAAATTCAGTGCCAAAAGCTGCTGCTATGGCAAGTCAGAGAGCCATTTCGCAGAGTCAGATGGAAGCAAACATCTCCACTATAGCCAGGTCCCCTCTTCTGTCATCATGATCACCTTTTCTGATAGGTACTCATACAGTGGAGGGTGATTTCTCCACTATCTGTTCATGTGTATGGTGCAGTGAACTCCTTAATACAGCTCTGCTAGCCATGGTCTTTGTGATTCCCACCAGATGACTGAGTGGGACTGTGCAAATGTGAGATGCTTGTGGCCCACCCAGGGGATTGGATAGCTTGTTAATAATGTAAATAATGTACATGGCACCTTTTATGGGTGGACTGGGCAAATAAGGTGTATGGACCCTAACATGAGGATTGGTCAGTTTTGCCGTTCCCCTAGGCTTACATGAGCCATCCCAGAGGTGGAAAGAGGGATCTCCCTACCACCAAAAGAGGAGAACTAGGAGTGGAGTGATTGGACCCGAGATCCTTGCACTGAGATGATGGCAGAGAGAAAGGAGAACCAAGAGACTGGCATGAGACAGAGCAGTGGGCTTCCCAGCCCATCGAGCAACAAAGCTGAGTGCCTTCAGGCAAGAGACTTGCAGGCAGAGTGGGGTGCCCCGAAGTAAAAGAGCTTTGTTACACCGGCCTTAACAGGCCAGAAGCCAAGGCTAGAGAGTAGTGTGCCTGCAGCACAGCTGAGAATAAGCTGTCCTGATTAGAGAACTATATCATGACTTGTTTCTGATCCTGAGTTGTGATCTATTACTTCCCTAATGAACAACATAACCATGACTATTGTCTGTGAGTTCTGTGTGGCAATTTCAAAGAATTACTGAACCCTGCAGAGAAGTAGAGAGTGTTGTAGGAGGGATGGTTGCTGTCAGATTGGGAAAAAGGGTTAGAGGGTAGTAGCATGTCTGACCTCCACCTCATAGGAATTAGCCTTGAGATGTCAATATTGTTCTGGATCTTCCTCCCCTTTGTGAAGTTAGAGGAGGTCAGATGCCACACCCTTTTTGCAGTATGGGTTCAGATGACTGACAATTAGAGATTCCCCAAACTTGCAGGTTCTATGACAATTAATTCCAAATAGGAGGTTATTCTCAGATTCCTTTGCATGACTTTATTTTGGCAGTGAATCTGTCTTAGCTCTAAATGAGCCCTGTTCCATAGAAATTGAGTAGGATCTACATATGTCATTTTAAATTTTCTAGTAGCCTCATTAAAAATTAAAGAGAAAGAGGCAAAACTAATTATAATTTTATTTGATCCAACATATCCTAAGTATAATCATTTCAATATGTAACCAGTATAACAAATGAGATTAGATTTTTTTTTATTTCTTACTAAATCTTTGAAATATCATGTGCATTGTACACTCACAGCACATCTCAGTTCAGACTACCCACACTTCAGTTGCTCAATAGCCACCTGCAGATAGTGGCTACCACAAAAAGTGTCAACCATTTTGAAAAAACATCTAGAAAAAACACCCAGAATGAAAAGCAAACTAATAGCACATTATTTCATTCAACAAATATTTGTTAAATGCTTGCTAGTACCAGACCTTGTGCCAGGGCCATGACTATAATTGTGACCCAGGTAGATGTGGGTCCTGCCCTTATAGAAATCATGCCTTTGATCTTGTTACTATGCTTAGTAAATAGGTAAATAAAGCTACTGCCAAAAGCAGTGTAATTTTTAAAGATAATAAAAATATATAAAGTCAATACTTTAATGAAAATTATAGATTATATACATGAAAATAAATAGCTATAAAAATTAAAAATTGTGCTAAATAGGCTTCATCTTTAGAGACATTACTTCTGACTCAATAATTAATATGTCAAGGATTTCTTTTTCTTCTTAATATTATTTTTTAATTGTGATTTGAGTGAAAGTTTATAGAGCAAATTGATTCTCCATTCAACAATTTATACACATTTTGTTTTCTGACATCCATTGCAATCCCTACAATATAACAGAACTCTTCCCACTTCCTCCTTTCATCCTTCTTTTCTATCCTTTTCTGCCTCTTTCTTCTCTCTGTCCTTTGCTTCTCATATGGTTGATTCTTCTAATGAGTGCACACCTTCCTTGTATTATTGTTCACCTTATAGACCTGTCTATTGTTTGGCAAAAAGTTGAGCCACAGGTTTTGAGTTCAGTTCCTAGCTTAAAGGGTATCTAAGGGCCATAGTCTTGGGGGTTCCACCAGTCTTCATCAAACCAGTGAATCTGGTCTTTTTTATAATTTTGTGTTGTGTTCCATGTTTTTCTCCCACTCTCCCACTCTGTCACCTTCTAATGTGATCCATTTCAGAGCAATCAGTAGCAATAGCCAGGCACCATCTGGTTCTCGTTTTATCTTAGAGTTGTGGAGGCTGCTGTTCATGTGGTTCATTAGTCTTCGGGGAGGGGGTGCTGAATTGTTTCCATGTGTCTTTAATTTTCTCTACTCTTCTTTGCTCTGGACTGCAAGAGACCAATAACTTAGATGGCCACTTACAAAGTTTTAAGACCCCAGTCACTACTCAACAAAGAAGGATATAGAATATTGTCTTTGTGAACCACGTTATACCAATTGACCCTAGTGTCCCCCTCAAGACTATGGTCTTGAGCTCCATTCCCAGCGAATCTTTCCCTCAGGTGTTTGGTTATGACTAAGAAGTTTTCATAGCTTTGTCCCCAGTGTGCTCTACTATTTTCATGGATATATTTGTTGTTGTTGTTGTTGTTGTTATGTGCCATCAAGTCGGACCCGACTCATAACGACCCCTCCTTGGGTTTCCAAGGTGGTATCACATATAAATACATAGGTAGAGATAGCCTCTGTCAAACCTATATATATTCATAGGTGTAGTCCCATTCGCCTTCCCATTTCTCTTATGCTTGAGTGTTTATCTACACATCCACTCATAGATTACTGTTATTGCTGTTATTGCAGGATTGTGTATGTAGTGGTATCCACCTTTGTTGCCTTTAACTCCTGTGCTCTCCCCTGTGTCTTCCACTGCCTTGATCATTTTGTGTTGACCTCTCCCTTATTGTATATTTTCTTTCCCTTAACCCAAGTTAATATGAGCCTATCCTGTCATTAGTGTTTTACCTTCCCTTCCCCTCCTACCCCTGATGTGGTGGTTGTGTGGGTGTGGGTGATTCTTTGAATCACCTTCAAAGAATGATTCTTTCTGTGTAAAACTTTTCTTGACTTTTTACAGTAGTAGTCCTATACAACAGTTGTCCTTTTGTGATGGACCGGTTTCACTCAGCATAATGTCCTCTAGGTCCACCCATGTTATGAGGTGTTTCAGAGATTCATCATTATTCTTTAACATTGAATGATATTCCAGCATGTATATGTACCATAGTTTGTATATCCATTCATCTGTTGATGGCCATTTAGGCTGTTTCCATCTTTTTACTATTGTGAATAATGCTGTGATGGACATGAGTGTGCATATATTTGTTCATGTAATGGGTCTTATTTCTCTAGGATATATACCTGGTAGTGAATTGATGCATCATATGGTATTTCTATTTCCAACCTCTTAAGGAAGTGCCATACCACTTTCCACCATTGTTGTTCCATTTTATAATACCACCAGCAGTGTATGAGGGTTCTAGTCTTTCCACATCTTTGCCAACATTTGTTGTTTTCTTTTTTTTTTTTAACTTTGCTATTAATGTTGAGGTGAGATGATATCTCATTATTGTTTTTATTTGCATCTCTCTAATCACTAATGATCACAAATATTTCTTCATGCTTTTGTTAACCTTCTGAATGTCTTCTTTGGTGAAGTGTCTGTTCATATCATCTGCCCATTTTTTAAATTGGATTGTCTGTCTTTTTGTTGTTGAGATGTAGAAGTTTTCTATAAATTTTAGAAATTAGTCCTATGGTAGTTAAAGTTGTGGGTCAACTTGGCTGGGCCATGGTTTTGAGTGGCTTGGCAGCTGGATGTGGTTATTTCCCATGATCAGATTGAAAGTGGTATAATCATGGTGGAATCATCTGTGACCAGATAATTAGTTATCTTCAGGGTGTGGCTTGCTTCCAGTATATAAGAGCTTTGGGA